TTCAAACTCTTTACTCATTATGAAAGCTTATATTTGAAAATACATTATTGAATCTCCATCAAAAGAAATTTTTACTTATCTTTTAGTTGACAATTTAAGAGTATTTTGACCTAGAATGATGTAATTTTCTATTTATTCCACAATATATATATAAAAAAAAACTCCTAGGAAAGGTGTGGCTGCTTGTCCTTAATAAGTTAACATGCATTGATTTTGTCAATTTAGAACATAAATACTTGGAATAACTCCAAAAGTTCGGCAGTTCTACATTAAGTTAAACGGCATCGAGACAAAACAAAATGTGAATTCTGATAAGCTTGACATGCATAAATTTGTCACAAGCATCTAATATAAAAAGAACTTGGGCTAATTAACATTCGAAACAACTCTAATTTAACCCAAAAGAAAAAAATAATGGACTATGAAATTTTGGGGTTAGTAATAGCCGCTTTGGTATGGATTGCATGCGCAATAATGGCGAAGCAGTGCCAGCACGGGCGTATGGAAAAAACGGGACAGCTTCCACCTGGGCGAAGAAGGCGGCCGATGGTTGGGAACATTTTCCACTTAGGTTGGCCACCGCACCTATGTTTTACCAAATTGGCTAGTCAACACGGACCTGTCATGACTCTTTGGCTAGGTTCAATGTGCACCGTGGTCATATCATCGAAAGAAGTGGCTCGTGAAATGTTCAAGAACCATGGTGTGGCGCTTGCAGGGAGAAAAATGTACGAGGCCATGAAAGGTAGTCAAGGCAATGAAGGGTCTATCATTACGGCTCAATATGGTCCTCAATGGCGGATGATGCGACGTTTATGCACCTCGGAGTTCTTCGTGAGTAGTCGTCTCGGAGTTCAAATGGTGGAATTTGTAGAAGATGCAAGTGCTCGTGGAACCAATGCCATCGATATTGAGAGATTCTTTTTTTAATGGCTTTCAATCTCTTTGGAAATCTTATGTTTTCAAAGGATTTATTGGATCCGAAATCGGAGGCGCAAATTTCTTTTACGATGCAGGAAAAGTAATGGAGTTCGCTGGTAAGCCAAATGTGGCAGATTTCCTACCAATTTTAAGAAGGCTGGACCCGCAGGGTATAAGGAGGAAAATTGAGTTTCACATTGAGCAAGCCTTTGAAATTGCAGGAGAATTCATTAAAGAAAGGATGGAAAGTATAGCAAACGGATATAATGAAGGGAAGAGAAAAGATTTCTTAGATGTACTAGTGGGATTTCGTGGTGATGGCATGGAGGAGCCAGCCAGGTTTTCTTCAACAACCATCAATATTATTGTCTGGGTAATTGGTTATCTCTTATTAAACTTCAGTAAATTTGCGTTCAATAATCTTTCTCTGACATGCAGTGTTAACATGGGTTAATTTGCAGGAGATGTTCACTGCAAGGACTGACACAACTACAGGTACTTTAGAGTGGGCTATGGCAGAGCTCCTACATAACCCAAGAACAGTCGAGAAAGTCCAAGCCGAGTTGAGGAGGAGTCTAAGACCGGGTTAAACGCTTGAAGAAAATGATATCGAAAACCTTCCTTACCTTAAAACGGTGATTAAAGAAACGTTAAGACTTCACCCACCACTTCCTTTCTTAGTACCACACATAGCCATGAACTCTTGCAACATGTTACGTTACTATATTCCCCAGGAAACACAAATTTTAGTCAACGTCTGGGCGATTGGACGAGACCCAAAAACTTGGGATGACCCATTAGTTTTCAAGCCAGAGAGGCTTTTAGAGCCTAATTACATTGTGGATTGCAAGGCACACCACTTTGAATTTATACCATTCGGGTCTGGTCGTAGGATGTGGCCGGCAATTCCTCTCGCCTCATGTGGCGTTGGGGTCGTTATTACACTCTTTTGATTGGATGTTGGCTGATGGGCTTAAGCCTGAGAATATGGACATGACTGAACGAATGGGCATAAAGTTTGTCCCCCTTGAAGGTCATACCAATGCCCTATACCATGGCCTGTTGAATATTGGGCTTTTATTATAGTACAAATTAATGTACAATTTTAAGTGTTGTTCCACACCAACCTCAAGCAAACTGATTTTTGAATTTCATACTTATTTAACCAGAAGTTCTAACAATAAATATACTCAATTCTAAATCCAAATTCTCTATCCTCATTTTCTGTCTCATTTTTTATCCCCATTCTCAGAATTTCTCGAGGGTCTATTTTTTTATTATTAAATTAGTACATATTTCGTTTTTTAATTTTTCCTCCTCTTCTTTATTCTCCTACTGTCATCAAAAGTTGCTCGAAGAGAGGACTAACATTCACCCAAAGACATTCTTTCACTACAACACCAATTATTAATTCAGATTCTGCACCATGATTCCGAGCAACAAGACTGCAAAAAGCATTGGCAAGAATGGGCGTTATTAGGCAAGAAGTCACGTTTATAATTACCAGAACCCAGAATAATTAAATCTTGAGGATTGAAAGGTTACTTGCTTCAATACCAACTAAGCTAATTAAGGATTCAGAGATTCTCGTTTTGTTTGGCTGAAAAATTGGAGACGTTTGATAAATTCCTCCTTCAATGATTTGAGTATTTGTGGAATAAAAGTTGGCTTTGCATCTGCAATCAACTTTTTCTTGCATAGATGTATGAGGGAGAAAGAGGAAAAAAATTAAAATAAAGTATGTATTCACTCAATAATAAAAAAAAATAAACATATGATAATTTGTAAAAATTGGGATGAGAAATGGGGACAAAAGATTTGGATTCTGCTTCATACATAATATCCATGTCGAAAGCATTTTAAATAAAGTAGATAAAATGGGGGTCTCAAAAATCCAAATAAATTTGTGCTTAGTAGAATTTATTTTGAAAAGTTCTATTTACAATTGGTCCTCAACATTGAAAAATTACAGAGAATGCAAAGAGAAGAAGAGTTGTGTCATAGGAAAAAGACAAACGAATCCAGGGAGGAATCGTAGGATGCATGCATGATGTTCTCTCAAATCAAGACGGCTTAACAAGAATTATGCTCAGCATTACAGTACAAAACTTTTGATTTTTGTCTCTACATGTTTGGTAAACTAAGGAATCTTTTTCTGTTTAGTTGCAGGAATAAACTTAGATATCTCTGTCTCTAGAATTAGATGCTTGGACGATCATCAATATATTTATTTCATAAATATGGCATGCATTTGTATTATACTTAGTTTTGTAATTACTTTTCTCATTTGAGATCTAGGGTTATATACATTATCATAAAAGAAGTTTGAAACATGCATGTAAAAGAAAAGGAAAGTTTGAATTGAAGAGTAAGGGTAGAAAAAAAGAAAGAAAGAAATACTTAAGAGTAGATATCATTAGTTTGTTATTATTGCATCTCTATACCATTTGTGAATTAATTGACTTATTTAACTATCGAATAAAATATCATTGCTTTGCAAAAATATTTATTAACAAGTTTTCCACACTTTTAGTAAAGGATTCTATAAATGCATTTTTATTAAATTCAGTAATTGATAAGTATTATTCTAAAAATTATATCATTAAATATAATAATTGAATTCCATTGCAGTGGAAAAATGTTCTTTTAATAGCAAAATTACAAAAAAAAAATTTTTTGTGTAATCTAAAGTAGAGTTAATAAATTAGATGGTCATTTGGAGCCGCTACATGTAAAACATTGCTGGATATATTCATGTGTTAGATTCTTAATAGCATCACTTGGTTTGGGTTTTGTCAGCACGTGTTCGGTGAACCCCGAATTTTTTTTTTTGGTCGGTTAGATGTGTATGTGTGTGTGTATATATATATAAAAGTGATTATAAATTAATTTACTGGCGAAACTTGCATTAACTATAGCTTAAATGACCGCTTGGGGCTAACCCTTCGTTAAATATTGCTTGCCCTCTTAAAATGTTCGACTCCCCCCTTTCTCTCTACTTGATTAATCTAGTTGACTAGTGCTTTGTTTGTTTGTTTATAATTCCAAGATTGAATTCTGATGGCATCTAAACTTCATCGCATGTTCTAGTTATCTCAGCTCACAATGCTTCACTTGTTTAATTTGTCCTTTTGCTAAGTGATTAAATCAGTCGCACGAGCAGAGAATAGAAGCTTCTAGACAAGGTCCGAAAGGATTTAGAAAATCCTTTATTATCTCATTTTTCATCTTTTTTTGTGGAATTTCTGAATATTTGCGGGTGTGAATTCTATAATCAATAATCGAATCCCATAAATTATGAATGAAATTTATGAGTATATATTAAAAAATAATGGGAAAAGTAAAAAGGAATCTTAATCAACCCGTCCTTCTTTATGTATCGGGAAAATTAATGCTGTACTTCTTGTATCCAAAACTATATAATAAAGAAAAACCAATAAACTGAAAGCTGAAATGAGTGGTGATAATTAATGTGCCTCTGATTTAGGGGACATATTATTAGTAGTATATATTTTTGGACAAGTTAAGAGTGTTTTATTATATCAAGGTAGTGAAGAAAGCCAGAACTTGCCTGCGAAGTCATGGATTGGCCTACAAGTTTTCTTGTTTGCCTTATCCTATTTTCATCATCGGTCTTATTCCTATTCTCCCGAAGAAGAAACTCCAACCCAGGCAAGCTCCCTCCAGGGCCTCCAGGATGGCCCATTGTCGGAAACATGTTCGATCTTGGCACCATGCCACACCGGACCCTCACCTGCCTAAGGGACAAGTATGGTCCAGTTATATGGCTCAGGCTAGGTACAGTGAACACCATGGCACTTCTTTCAACAAAAGCAGCTACTGAGTTGTTTAAGAACCATGATCTCTCCTTCGCTGAGCGCAACATCACGGAAATTATGCGCGCCCATGATTACCATAAAAGCTCTTTAGCTCTAGCACCGTATGGTTCATATTGGCGCGTGCTAAGGCGCCTGGTCACGGTGGATATGTTGGTTAACAAACGGATAAATGAAACCACTTGTATAAGAAGAAAATGTGTTGATGATATGCTGCTATGGATCGAAGACGAGGCACGTAAGAAGGAAGGAGACTCACATAGAGATGGAATTCATGTGGCACGTTTCGTGTTTTTGTTGACATTTAATTTGCTTGGAAACCTTATGCTGTCGCGTGATTTGTTCGATCCTGATTCGAAGGAGGGTTCTGAACTTTTCATGGTCATGTTGAGGCTGATGGAATGGTCTGGTCAAGGAAATATAGCAGATTTTTTTCCCTGGCTGCAGTGGCTTGACCCTCAAGGATTGAAAAGGAAGATGGAGAAGGATCTTGGTAAGGCTATTGAAATTGCCTCTAAGTTTGTGAAGGAAAAATTGCAACAGAAGAAGGTGGGGGAAGATAAGAGGGATTTCTTGGATTTGTTGATTGAGTTTGAAGGAAATGGCAAGGACGAACCAGCTAAATTTTCTGACCATGAGCTGAACATCTTTATCCTGGTAATTCTCTTACTTTATTTATTATGAACTCGGCTGAATGGAGATATTTAATTAAGAAGAGTCAACATTGGTTGTCCTTAGATATACTAAAGCATGGTGCTATGATTTCTTCTGTTGTGTTGGCTCACGGTTATGAAATTAAAAATTGAGAATCAAGACATATATGCAAGCGGTTAATGTTAGAGACACATTCGCATATTCTAATCCAAATAATTAGAACTCATCCAAATTAGATGAAATTATTTTTTGCAGCCAATCACTGAGTGATCTTTTCTGCACCAGAAGTTTTATATAGCCTCATTGGTGAAATTTGTTCTGTTCAACTGAACAGTTTTCGTAAACAAAATATTTCCATGTTTATTGCACTAGTGGAGCTCTCTCTCTTTCACCTTTACAACGTTCAAAGCACTTGTCTTCACTCATACACGAGGAAAGCTAAATCCCATTTATAGAATTGCTAACCGGAACAAAGACAATTGTGAATGACCTGCTGCCAACTCATTTCCAGGTTTAGCTGGAAACTTTTAGAATACAAATTCAATTCCGACTACCGTAGATATTTAACCAATTCTTAGTGTCCAAATTAAACAGGGCTTCGGCTGCAACTTCTGCTTTTCTGACAAATTAGAGAATGGAAAATGACTTTCCTACTTGTTCTCGTTCTAATTCCCGATATTTGATTTAACACTTTACTGGATGTTATGAGCAGGAAATTTTTTTGGCTGGTTCAGAGACAACAAGCAGCACCATAGAATGGGCATTTACCGAGCTGCTTTGCAACCCAGACGCCATGATCAAGGCCAAAGCAGAGCTTACTCAGGTGGTTGGACCAAACAAGAATGTAGAAGAGCGTGACATTGAAAATCTTCATTACTTGCACGCAGTAGTAAAAGAAACATTTCGGCTGCATCCACCAATTCCATTCCTTATTCCAAGAAAGGCAATGCAGGACACCAATTTTATGGGGTACCATATACCCAAAAACACACAAGTTTTTGTAAATGCTTGGGCCATTGGAAGGGATCCGGAAGTGTGGGATGACCCCTTGTCATTCAAGCCCGAGAGGTTCATCGGATCGAAAATCGAATACAAGGGGCATCACTATGAGCTAATTCCTTTTGGAGCAGGGAGAAGAATGTGTGCAGGTGTGGCACTAGCTGATAGAGTTCTGCGCCTCGTTTTAGGTTCATTGCTTCACCACTTTGATTGGGAACTTGGAGGCAATGTGACCAAGGAGACGATTGACATGAAAGACAGATTGGGTGTAACAATGAGAAAGCTGGAGCCGTTACTGGCAGTTCCTAAAAAGTGTATGACATCAGACTGAAGTGAATTATTTAGATGATGGGCAATTTGAAGTGTCTTTGCAAGTTTACTAGCATACATACTATTCAAGCATCTGATTCATAGTTTATGTTTCGTTATTTTTAGTATTACCAAAATTAACAAGGATTGAAGAAAGGGTACTTGTCAGGACTCAGGATCTCTAGAGGGAATTTCATCCAGGGTCGGCATCTCTAGCATGGAAATGGTGGCAAGCAGATTTTTCATTCAATGTCTCCTACTGGAAATTTCACTATATTAGTTGGATACACTTCATATGCCACTAGATCAAAATTTAGGGTGATTGCAAGAGGGAGACTTCTGTTTAGTTTGATGCATATTTACTTTTCTTTTGAACTCCAATGCTCCGGATCCATTAAGTTAATGATAAGATTATATATTATCGTTTTATTAAGTTTGAAATTCCTTAAATTACTCCTTGAAACCAACCAGCAATTAAATTTGGTTGACTTCTTTGACTTGAAGTTTGGTACTAGCAATGCTACTCGGGACAATAGAAACAAATGAGGAAGAGTGTAAAATAGAGGCCATTTCAAAACTTCTATTTTTCATAAGATTTACATCGAAATTCATTTATCATAAATCTTAATAAAAATTGAAACTAATATTAAACGATCATTAATTTATCTATACAAATACAATTAATCTAAATATTAACCCTTGTTAAAAACATACAATGAAAAGTAATTTGTCTCCACACTTTATTAATTAATTTCCTAAAGTAACATTTGACTATTTACTTTTCACAAATTAAGTATAAAATGATGCACGCGTTTTAAAAAGATAAATTAATTAATGATACTTCTCTATATTGTTTTAATTAGTATTCCTCAACCATGCATCAGGTTACTAACCTGAATATAGCCATTCTTGTTTGCACATATTAGTAAAGTATTTAGGGATATGTTCATCATATTCAATGAAATTGTGTGACAAATTTTCTTAAATGTAATCTTAGAATACGATTGTACGCATAGAATTATGTAACTAACAATTATTAAATAGGTGGTGTACTTGAGTCCACGGCCTTCCGTAACTTCTTCCAATGACATAAATTTGGTTATGGTAGGACAATCCAAAACATAAGATGTCCAGAATCTCTTAATTTTCACAACCACATGCGCCTGGTCTAAGGCAAAATGCGTTTATAAGCTCAGCAGGAACATTGGATCAAACCATTGGTTTATAAGGATCAAAGAGAGCTCGGAACTCCAACGCTCAGGAATGAAAGTCACCTTTAGTTTGCTTGTTTGTTTGATTCTTTTCTTGTTTGCAGCTTTTGTTCCAGCCATATCGGGAAGACAGCCTCAGAACGTTTTGAAGCTGCGACCACCGGGACCTCCAGGGTGGCCAATGTTTGGCGACATTTTTGACCTTGGAACTATGCCTCTGTAGGGAAATGGATGATTTCAGGAAAAAATATGAAGAAAAAAGAAGAACAGAGGAGGAAGGTCGTGAAGGAGGAAAGAGAAAAACTTGTTATCATCAAAAATGGTGCTCCCCAGACATCTCATTGATAACCAAAAGAAGCTAGGCTGTTATAAGAAAAAGATATAAACAATTTTAAACAAACCAATTGAGGACACTTGGCTTACATAACAAATTGAGAAAATAATGCGCAGGGATTTGTGCTTATGTTCCCAATGTTAGCATACTCCGACTAACAGCTCCTCAAAATGGTACAGTATAAAGAAACTCACAATTGATAAAATAAACAGTAACAAGTAAAAATAGCTAGTAATATACTTGAAACAAACAAAAGGATAATAACGACTTGAGCCAAAAGATTAAACAGCCATCAGAAAACTCTCCTTCCTTCAGATCAAATCATTTCCCACAAATTGCCATTTTAGCCTCTGTACAAGATTGATAGCAAGATGAAACCAGTTTCAACACACCTCCTTAGTGTTCATCTTGCAAACTCCCAGTGAAGACCTCAAATACTCAAACTTCTCTTTACTCAGACACTTAGTAAAGATATCTGCAATTTGATTATTTGTTCCACAATGTAGTACTGAAATCTCTCCATCTCTAACTACATCTCGGATGAAATGAAACTTTACCTTAATATGTTTAGTTTTGCCATGATGAACAGGATTCTTGGCAATAGTTTATATGCCTTAACATATTTGGATTTCATGCCTTAGCGTGTCTGCTTATACACTTTAGCGTATCTGGTCTATATACCTTTTCGTATTTGGATATATCTATTAATATTTGTTCATGTACCTTACATGGTTGGAAGCATGAGTACAAACTTAAAATGTTATGTAAATAGAATAATTTATGGTGAATGCCTTGTGTATTTAAGTAAAAATTTTCAATGATGTATGGTTTTGGTTTTTCCATGAATAAATATTGTGAATTGGATCTTTTAGTAAGGGAAAGCATAACCTTTTGGAAGTGAATGTCAATTTGGAAAAATTTGGGAAATAAGAACGAAAAGACCGACCCTTAAGCCAAGGGAAGTCAATCCCAAACAGTCTAAAAAGAATCTCCAGCATTCTGTGGTGCAAGGATCGACCCTTGAGGGAAAAAAAGGTTGATCCTTCCAAGACAAAATGTTTAACATTGTGTCCTGTGTTGAGAGGATCAACCCCTTATCCCCAAATGGTTGATCCTTGTAGTTGAAACTACATTGTTTTGGTTGTTTTGGCTACATTTGGTGAATGTTGTGTGGACAATCTCAATCCAAGTTTTTAAGAACCCTTGGGCATGATTTTACCTCTCTAAATGATGTTAAAAACATCCTTTTTGGTTCTATAAGGATATAAGCTGAATTTATTTAAAATTGCATAATTCCTTTGGAAATATGTTCATGAAATACTTTCCTTTTTAACTTGTTCCCCTTCTCTGTGTTTGCTCACTAAGATTTTATATCTCACACACATGGATTATTTTGTTTTCAAATTAGTATACCTTTAGTTGGTGTATTTGAGGAGTCTTCTCTTCATCATTCTTGTTAGGTCATCATCAAAGGCATCTGGTAGATATTTACCTTTTCGTTGCTTCACTCTGTTGCTCGAGTCAAACTTTACTTTGGTTATACAAATATAAATACATGTGACTGTTTGGATCAATGTTGATAATAGATATTAAAGGAAATGTAATTATGCTTCCGCTTATAACTTATTAAATACAAACTTATATGATTTGTTTGGAAATTGTAAGACTTGTGACAGATCTTGTATATGTTTGGTGTAAAAGATATCATATGATGATATATATATATATATATATATATATATGTATGTATTGAAATGACATATGACTTTAAATACGTAATTATTGTCACAATTAGAAGTTGTTTTCGAAGCTAGCATGGGTTAAGCGGGCTTGCTTGCTAAACCCATTCACGAGTCATATCCTAAAATCAAATTCTTGACAATTAGCAATCTATTGGTAGAAGTTAAAGAATTAGATCAAAGTTCTACTTAATTTCCAATCTTTACATTTGTCAACAGGTTTTATTTTGTACATTTTTTTTTATTCTTTATGAACTAGGTATTTGTGTAAAGTGTTCAAATCAAGTTGTTAATGAGCAATTCATTCTATATTAAGGTGGACCATCATCTTGTTACTCCCACTACTACTAACTTGCTACTTCTAATTGTAGTTTTGGTTTCGCAAGACCACATTAACATATTTTTATGTTTGCTTATATGGTTGTTCTTTCTATGTAATAAACATATCATTTCAACAGTTTGTATTCAGAGAGTACAGCAAAATCCATCACACATACATTCTACAGACCTAATCGACCAACGCCAAATTGAATTAATTGGATAGACAGATCAAGTCCATAGAATGTATGAGCTACTGGCATTAAAATCTTTGAATGGAAAACAGACAAAATCTACAGAATAAGCAACTTTGGTGAAGATTAGTTTCCATCTCCAATTATATAAGCCATTAATTTGTTCTTGTTTGTTTTCTATTCAAAATGAGTGCTTCTAGAGAAAGTAAGTTCCCATCTTCTTCAATGCCTAACATAGTCATTGAAATGAGTCTTCAATTTTATTTCCTTTATTCTCATAGTATTAGAATGTAAGATCATCTTCTCATAAGACTGATGGTCTTCTTTGTCAGCTGATTGATATTCTATCTCTGATACTCCCTTATCAAATATTATTATTTTGCAATCAAGAAGTATTTTGAAGAATTCCCTGCAACAGAAAACAAAAATAAGCCCTCAAGAAGCTTATCCTAGTTCCTTGTTGCTACCCATAAAATTCAGAACCTATAGTTTAGCTTTTAGGCACAAATAAATTTCAAGCACTTAGGCTCTGAATAAACCAACCTTTTAAGTACTCGTAAATATCCATCATTTTTTTTTTATCACATTAGCTCAGGCCAACCCACAAGAAAGACAGAACCAAAGCAAAAACGATTACCATCACACATGAAAATATAACGACCTTACAACTGCAAATGTCAACCTAGCTATTTTGTTTTTAAAGAATAGTTACTTCAGTTATGAAGTAGCGAGGCGTTCAAAATCATAGCTTGTACTTATGGCCTCGCAAAAGCTGGGTTTTGAGAACCTCCAACTTCGAAGCTTACTTCATATCTGCCAAGAAAGAACACATCAGGATTCTACTGCTCTTGACTAATCTCAACGACCATGGACATAATCTGAGATTTTTAATGTTGACAATGCTCATGACAAGAGCCTTTCCTTTCAGTAGGCTAGAATGATATGTCTTTCTCCTTTTCACTTTTGGTTTGTGACCTGTCATGATTCTCCATCTGTCTGCCTGTCCTCCCTTTGGGGGCACTTGTTTTCCTGTTAGTCTCTGTTTTGAGAAAAATCATAGCATTCAACAGCAATAAAGTTGCTAAACACCCCTTTCAGCATGTAATGTTCCAATTGATGCCAATACTCCAACAAAAACCTAGAAGACTCGTGTTACTCTAAGCAATATCACTTACAAATAGCTAGCAACCCAAATTCATCAACTACATAAACAAATAACAGAATCTATCAGTTGCAAAGGAATAACTATATTGACAGAGGCTTGCGTCAAACAAGATACA